AAGGAGGCTACGTAGAGCCTAAGTTAGAACCGAACGAGGGTAGGACACGCCAACCCTATCATGGTGTAACCAAGCACTCCCCCTCGGCGGAGGACTTGCCAACCTTGGCAGACCACCCGGACCCTTTGATGCCAATGAGGCCAAATAATCGGTCGTGATTAATCTCCACAGCCTAAGGGCGACACAACAGCTCATTTATCCCCTTCAAAAGTACACCATGTTGCCCGTCGTAACGACGAATCTGTAACATCTCGATAATACTCTCATTGTCGACTTCAACTTGAATCTTACGGTACGGGCACCTATATCCCATGCCAACGCCAGGCTCTAGAACAAACCCCATAGTTCAGCACCGACTATCGAAAAGAAATCGATATTCATTAAAAAACCATGCACCCAATTACCATTATGATCCCGAATAACGCCACTGGCACTGGCCATCTCCGTCACCGGGTCAACACTTCCATCCGTATTAAGCTTCACCACAGTATTCGTCGGGCACGACCACGAGAATTGCAAGAAAAATGTACACCTTTGACAAATCCCCTTTATATATTAATTCAGAACGTGCTGAGACTATGTGGCAGGCTCGCACGCTTCGGGATTCTATGTGGCAAAATTACATGCTTCGTTATTAGGGTTGGATAGATTTAATTTACTTCTAATCCAAAAACATTTAGGTTCGGATTATCTATAAATATGTTGATTATTTATGGTAGGGGTGGGCGCGGTCCGGGACGGTCCTGCATTTGACTTGTCCGGATACCGATCCTACTTTTATGAATCGGTCCATGAACGGTCCGAGATGAGACACCGTCCCCACCCATGTAATACATGGGTGATGTACTAGTTAAAAATTAATTAACAAAAAAATTGTGGAGTTGGAAAACAAGTGCATGATTTATTATTATTATTATTATTTTCAATTTGAATCATTTAGTATGATATACGAGCCAAAATTATCGATGTGTTTGGTTTAGATTGTCTCGGTAAAGTTGGATAGTATCATTTCATGGGAATGTATTTTATACAAATTTAATTAATTACGTATAAATAGTATAGTTTTGAGAAATAGACACTAGTCTGAGTCTCTGTTGTTGTTGTTGTTGTTGTTGTTGTTGTTGTTATTATTATTATTTGTTGTTGTTATTGCTTTATTTGACAAAAAGTCCTCCAACTTTTTCAAGATCAACATACACCACACAAAAATTCAGATAGCTTTGAATTTGATGTAAGACTTTGTGATGAGTACCCAAGTTGTACTTGGAAAAATAAAGGTTACATACTTGAATTTGAATTATATGTACAGCTAGTTATATACACACCTCCATACTAATGTTGATAGTTATAACCAAAATATCCATTTATTCGTTATTACTTTTTATTGTTTTATTAACATGATATTCTTTATTTGCTTGTAAAAAAAATAATTATTTTGCAATAAAATGCTGCTTAAGTTCCCATGCAATAAGGTATGTTTCCGTTCGAAATTATCTAACAATCGTTTATTAAGGAAAATTGAACGCCAATAATCAGAATACATGCACACATTCATACGTGTGTTAATGGATTAGACTAAAAATCATTGTTAAAACGTAATAATTTTTTTACAACAAAAGAAGCATCTAGTAAAAAATAGGCCATTATTTTTAATTAAGGTTAGATGCCGCCCTAACATCATAAAGTGTTACTAATAAACGTAAAAAAAACACTAAACACGATTAT